ATTTATATTATTGTTTTTATTATTTTTATTAGTATTAGTATTATTATTATTATTATTATTATTAGTAAGTATTTTGTATATTATGTATCTATAAACATATATATATATATATATTATTTCATCTTGTTCAATACTTGAACAGACGCTTCATCATACCTATATAAGAGAAAGGAATGCGTAGTCGAGTGTAGTTTAAGTGTGGGTACTGTAGCATTCGTCGCTAATTTCCCATCACCGTCCGTACTTACACATTACACTTTTTTTGTGCTTGATAATCTCGATTCAAAGCTTGGAAGTTGTCCAGTTTTATTGTCCAAATAGTCTGACTGCTTGAATTTCACTACACCTTTCAAAGGGTATGCGAGACCGATTTGGCCCACTTTGTCAATGTTGAACACATAAGAGAGGTAACAAGCTGCGATGGGCTATGCCTCTGCTTATGTACTGTTTAGAGCTCCGTTTGAGTTGGTAAAATCGAACAATCAGAATTTGCGCAGTGCCTTTCCAGTTTTTAGGTGTAGGCTCGTCAACTCCGAGGGAGTCTATGGAGGGCGACTTAATCAGCCTCCCTTATTCAGTTAGAGCCCTCTTACACCCCAAGTATATATATATATATATATATATCATATTCCCTCAAATATAGACAACTTACTTATACACACATAAAATATTTCCACATATATATAATACATACTTCTACTTGTATTTAATATACTTTCAAACATTTATCATAATTTTCACATATGTATATTGTATTCCCACATATGTATGTCGTATTTATATATTTATATTTATACATATGTATATATATAGCTTAATTTCACACACACAATAATATATTATATTTCCTTTTCATCCGCATATCCACACGTCTCTACAGATCAACAGCCGATAAGCAGAGACTGAGGCAGCATCCCCGGCAGATCTCCACTTGTACACAAACTGAGCTTCTCAGAGATATAGCACAAGCACACCAGCCCTATATACAGACAGTATGAGCATAACCAGTAACGAGGTCAACTTTTTGGTCTACCGGTACCTACAAGAGTCCGGGTTTATCCATTCGGCGTTCTGCTTTGGACACGAATCCTTCGTGTTCAAGTCCAATATCAATGGCATGGATGTGCCCCCCGGCACGTTAGTGTCCATGATCCAGAAGGTATGCACATGTCACAGCTATTCGTGTGTGTTAGTGAGGGCCAGTCTGTGTTTGTGTTGGTGTTTGTGTTTGTGTTTGTGTTTGTTTGTGTTTGTGTTAGTGTTTGTGTTGTGTTGTGTTCGTGTTCGTGTTCGTGTTCGTGTTCGTGTTCGTGTTCGTGTTCGTGTTCGTGTTCGTGTTCGTGTTCGTGTTCGTGTTCGTGTTCGTGTTCGTGTTCGTGTTCGTGTTCGTGTTCGTGTTCGTGTTCGTGTTCGTGTTCGTGTTCGTGTTCGTGTTGGTGTTGGTGTTTGTGTGTCGTACTCCGTA